GAAGTCGTTCCCGCGACCCGGAAACACTTGGGGCCACGGCGCGGAGTTTGAATGTGTCGGCGCCGCGCTGCGGGCGCGAAGGTGAGCGAGGGCAGCAGCAGCAGCCCTGCCCGGAGACGCATCGCGCTGCCTGGACGGCGGCACGTCGGCTCCCAGCCGGGAGCAGCGACCCCGGGGCTGCCCCGCCGTTCAGGCCTCCTCCTGGAGCGGAGCCGCCTTCCCTGGGCTCGGCGCCGCAGCGGCCTGGCCTCTTGCCCGTGCCGGAGCCCCCTTTCTGTAGAAGCCGCTCGGGCCGGGTTAGTTTTTTTGAAACAAAGAAACGTTGGGCGCCGGCGCCGGGGTTGCGGCGGCTGAGGAGAGGCGGTAGTCGGTCGGGAGCGCGCAGGGCCGGGCCCGCCGTGGGCGGCGGCCCTTGGTTCTGTGCATCTCGCTGCTGCGCTCGCTCCTGGTTCAGCCCTGCCGGTTCGAGCGCGCCACTTTGCCCGGCGCCCCCGCCGCAGCACCCACCGGGATCTGCGCGGCCTCCCAGGCAGCCCCGAGCTAGGAGGGAAACGGTATCGATGTAATTACCACTCGACCTTTACACTCCTGGCCACGAACTCAGAGGCTGTAAAGCCTGAAGAACAGAGCGTTATGATCCTCTAGTCGAGGGGTTGGCAGATTGGTGCTTGTGACCTGGCCGCTGCCGTGGGCTGCCCATTCCTCCTGCAGCCCCCCAGCCACTTTTGCTTTCTGCTTAGCTGTGCAGATAGTAATGCCGATTCCTGTCCCAAACGGCAGACTCCCTTATAGAATTGAAAGGAAAGCTGCTCTTCATTTAAAGATTCTCAATAAGAGTCCAACCAAGACGCAATAAGGGCTCTTGGCAGACAAGGTTCTTTGGATAAATTAGATATCTTTTATTAGACTAACTAAACAATTGGAAAATTTGTTCTTTTTGAGCTTTTGGGCACAAACACCCTTCTTCAGGCATAGGGAGAGTCTGCTGGTGTTTTCTGTGATATCCTGGGTGGAACAGAAATGCAGGTCTGAAAAAGCAAATGAATGGCAGTGAGGATCAGAGGCTATAGGAAACGGTAGGTGGGGGCAAAGGGAGAAATGTTGACCTGGTGACAGAACGTAGCTCTTCACTTTCACTTCAAAACAATCAAGCACTTGAAACAAAGCAGAAAAAACCCACAAACAAACTAACCCTCCAGTTATAGCTTACGAGGGCTATGCTAGGAGTCATGCTGTCATAACTTGGACACTTAAGTGCATTATAATCTCTATTGCTAAGCTACCCTTCTCGTTGGGTCTCCAGGCTTGCTCTGGTAAGGCTAACGCTGCACCTGTTGTCTGCTTAGGAGACATCTGTTGTGGAGTTTCATAAAGCAGTTGTGTTGAATTCAACACGTGTGCTTCCTCAGTGCTGCTTGTTGGAGTTGGCCTCTGGTTCTCAGCTTGACAAAGGGGGCTTTCTGTTAGGAAGTTGGGAACTCCACAGCCAGTATTCCATCAGTGTTTTTCTTTCCTTCTGTAGACTCATTCCCTGCCTACTTCGCTCTCAGTTCTGTAAGAGTTCTTGTTAGCAAATAAGAACCTAGGATTCCGAACTAGCCCAGAGATTTACATGACACCTTGTTCGATGAGTGACAGAAAGGCCTTATTTACTACAAGTATTTACAATCAAGTCAAGTGAGCCCAAACCCAATCAAAGTCCAGTAATTAGCTATACGGTGATGATTTCTCACCGTCAAAGAGGCGGTCTATTTCTCTCTAACTTCTCGAGTATGTCAGGCGCATCAGCAACTGGTCTTAGAGAGGTTTCTTACTCTTGAAGCGTGCGTGCTGTTTTACTGCGTTTTTATACCCTTAGTTTAGCATCTTCAAAGCATTCTTTTAGTTGTATAAATCAAGAGAGTCCCCAGCAGTAATTGACAGGAAAAACCTGCTCATAACTGGTTATCAGAAATTTCCTTCTTCAGGAACAAGAGGTGGTCCAGTTTGGAACATATCAAGAAAATGATTAACAGCCAGGAAAAACATACTAAATCAGGAGGAGACATCTATTACATATGGAGAATCTCTCTTCCTGCACATAAACACGAGTTAGTTGCAAAAGAAATATTTACCATACTAATTAATCAAGGGTAGACATTTCATATGGTTACGCACCAGACAACTAAGAGCCTGCCTGAAATCATCCTGAATATAGCAAGATAAGCTGGAAGAGAGACTTTGTTATTCCTTCTTAGCTGGCCTAGCCATGAACTCACATCCTCTTGCATTATGCAATTAGCATCAGTATTCTGTATTTTAACTTTTGTGAGTAGGCCCAAGCTTAGCACAAGTTTCAGAGTCATCACTTGTGGACTCAGCTATTACTTGTTTTGTGTAAGCTCAGGCTGCTTGTTGCATCCCAATATCTGTGTTTCTAGGGTGTTCTTTGCTGTTTTTGTTTGCAGGTAAAAAGAACAAAAAGAAAATGTCTGCAGAATGCCAGAGCAAAAAGGGTCAAAGGTAAGAAGGCTTTGATTAATAGAAAAAAGAAAAATCCTGTGTAGCTGTTCTCACCTGTGTTTTAAATTTTCTCTCTACATGTGACAGCAAAGTAGTTTACATGTTCTCTGTATTGCTGCTTGTTTGCAGATTTGCTTTTGTATAGAGGAGTGGTTCTCAATGTTTTTGAACTCTCAGCCCCCTCCATAACTTCAGTGAATTGAATGGCACCCAATTCAAAAACCTAATTTCTTATATTACAGTTCTGTGGCAGGGCACTTGATGTGCCTACCACTTGAAGAGGTCAGGC